ATCGCATCGCACCGCGTGTGTCGTAGCCAACACCTCCCTACCCATCCGGGCGCATCGCCAGTGTCTTTTGGCTACAACGTGATTTGACCTCAGGCCGGCTCACCCCTGCCGCGCGCGCCTTCGGGCTGCTGCTGCATCCATGCGCATGCTCCCTCCATGCGCCATCCACTCAAGACTTCATCACCACCGCGCTACGGCTGCAGAGTCACGTGATTTGACTTCTTATCACATGTTCGTGGTGTATTGGAGCGCAATATCAAATCTTTCTAGGTCGATCTACAACAAATCACAAAGTGAACGCTGCCAAAAGCTGTTGTTGCTTGGGGTGAGAGCGTGCAATGCTAGATGTGAACAATGTCAACGAGGCTGCTGCCACAGCGAGGGGCAAGTCCGGCAGCTCACCAACGGCGTGCATCTATCTGAATGTATGACAAGGTACTCAGACTGTATTTAGCGAGCGCACATTCCAGCCAAAGAGATGCAGCTGGCCGGACCAGTCAGACGCGAAAAGCCACGTGGGCACGGGCGTGACGCGCCTCACCCATGCTGCAGGCCAAATTCTGCCGTGTGAGTAGTCGTGTAGCAGAGCGACCTGCATACATCAAACTCACGCTCAAGTCAGAAGAGTCACAGTCAAACTTCTTCTCAACGATACGTGCGCTTGCATTCCAAGCGATCAGCTCGAGTATCAGCACTGCTTTCGGCGTCACCATCACATCAGAACGAGAGAGAGAGAGAGAGACCAGCATGGCCGCATCTCAACAGGCTGCCTTGGCCGCTCAACAAGCTCAAGCAGCTTTCTCTCAGCAGCAAAGCGGGCAAGCATACGACGCTTCGCAGCAGAGACAGCAGGCTGCTTATTATGGTCAAGATGTGGACGAAGACGATGCTTATTTGGAGGATGGAGACGAGGTTGACTTGATCCCTGCTGATTACGGTCAGGCCGATGACGGGTATCTTGACGAAGCTGGTCAAGGTGAGTCTAGTGGCCCCTGATGATCGGATAGCCTGTCGGTCGCTCACTTCACGTCGCTACAATCAAAGCTGCTTTGCTCGAGGCGCAGCATGAGCAACAAGCTCAGGCGCAAGCTGCCGCTTTGGCCGCAGTGCCTGATCAGGTTCGCAAATACATCGTCCTGTTTCATCAGGCCATCGTCAACAACTCCATACCTGAGATCAGCTCCGCGTACGAGAGCAACTGGAATCGACTCACTGAAAAGTATTTCCAGAAGACTGAGTGGCCAGAGGCTGAAGTTATTGCTCCCTTGGTTGGCGACGGTGAGTGGAGATTTTATCCATCTATGGTTTATGGCAGTGAGCGACCGAAGACTCGTGACTGAAGCGTCTTGCCACTGTCTTGCCCTGTACCCCTAGACCAACGCTTCTTGACGCTGTACAGAGAGCTCTGGTACCGTCATGTTTACTCGCGTCTGTCTCCAGATGGAGAAGATCGCTTTCACTCTTACGACAACTACTGCGATTTCTTCAACTACGTTCTCAGTGAGTGGTGACAGCGGCTTAGTCTAATACCATCCACGTCAATTTACTCACATTGACGTCACGCGCGCTGTTCACAGACTCCGAAGGTCCGGTGCCCCTCGATCTGCCAGCTCAATGGCTGTGGGACATTGTGGACGAGTTCATCTATCAATTTCAGAGCTACTCGCAGTGGAGGAATCGAGTGAACAACAAGACGGAGGACGAGCTGCTTTTGCTGCAAGACGGGGGTGTATGGAGCAGTTACTCCGTGCTGAACGTGTTGTACTCCCTCATTCAGAAAAGCCGCATCACCGAGCAATTGCAAGCTGTGCAGGCTGGTGAGGATCCCGAAGAGGCGGCAGGCGAATTTGGCAACAAGCCTCTGTACAAGATGCTTGGCTATTTCAGCATCATAGGGCTACTGCGCGTCCACGTGCTGCTAGGTGATTACACGCTGGCTCTGAAGATGCTGGACCACCTGGAACTTAATCGAAAGGGAGGCAGTATCATGAACAAGGTGACGGCATGTCACGTCACCGCGTACTACTACGTTGGGTTTGCGTACCTTATGCAACACAGGTACCCGGATGCCATTCGGGCCTTTACCCACATCTTGGTCTTTATCATGCGACTCCGGCAATACCACACAAGGAGCTATCAGTACGATCAGATCAACAAGACTGCAGACAGGATGTATGCGCTCTTGGCGATCGCTTGCGCACTCTGCCCAACGCGGCTGGATGAGAACATTCAGACTGCCCTGCGCGACAAGTACGGCGATCAGCTCAACAAGATGAGCAGAGGGTGAGTCAGAAGCACGCGTTGAGAATATTGGTGCGCGCGTGACTGACAGAGCCATGACCATATGTGGCAGGGAGGAGGGTCTGGCAGCATTCGAAGAGCTTTTCTTGTACGCGTGCCCAAAGTTCATCACGAGCAATGCCCCACCGTACCACGATGGAGATGCTTTAGCGGACTACCAAAAATCCCCGATGCCAGACCCGGCTCAACATCAGGTCAAGGTCTTCCTCGCAGACGTAAAGACGCAGCTGTCTAATGGCAACATTCGCTCCTTCTTGCGCCTGTACACCAGTCTGGGCACCGACAAGTTGGCAAACTTTCTCGAGGTGGACGAGGAAGAGCTTATTGAGGAGCTCATGGTCGCCAAGGCTTCTAGCAGGAGCTTGAAGTGGTCCGAGGGTGGACTTCTGGAGGGTGAAGTCGTCAACACTAGCGATTTGGACTTTGTCATCGATGGCGTGAGTGCGGCTGCATGTCCCTACTTTTGGACAGCTAGAGCTCTTCAGTTCAGCAGTGGCTCACCGCGATGCGCCTCTCTCAATCACACAGAACATGGTGCACATCGCAGAATCCCGTGTTGGTCGCAGATTTGGCGAGTGGTTCATGAGACAAGGAATCCGGATGAACCAGACTTTGCACCACATCAAGTCCAAGCCTTTGCCCATTCCCGACGACGCCAATGCCGCTGCTCAGGTTGCTGCAGCCACAGCTACAGGCAGCAAGACGGGCGATCGGAGGCCGGGCGCATATGGTGGTGCGTTTGGAGGTGGAAGAGGAGGGCACGCTGCGAAGAGGGGAGGCGCCAGAGCGGGTGGAGCTTCGACTGGTGGTCCGGCTTGGGGAGGTGCTGGAATTAGGACTGCTGCTGCAACCACGACCGGCTAGATTTGAGGCTTTGCATCAGCCAGCAAGCACTGCAAAATGCCATGTCTGTTGCCACATCTATGGCACGACAGATGTGCGCGCCCTTAACCCTCGCGATGGCAATTGTATTCATTACAAGCACATGATGGGTCTCTTTTCGGACGCGAATCAGCTTCTCGCACCGTCTGTCTACATGTGGTCTCACTCAGTGCGTTACGAGCTGCTGCAGTCGTGCAATCGCCTCTGCGCGTGGGGGAGCTATGCATCGAACGCGCCATTCATGATTGCCGGGCGACGTATCGTGTTCGCATGAC